CGCATGATTGCATTAAATTAAATGTGTAGCCATCAAATTCTAATTCCGAATTTAAAAATGGGAGATTGACTTTTAATAATGAAATAATGATAAATCTAGCCAAGATTCTAGATTATCATTTGATAAGCGTACTTTTTAATCATATTACTTACAAAGTCTTTTCACTAAAAAGATTATTTGACGTAAAGTATTAGAAAGTTTAAAAATGAGACAAGCATCTAAATGAAATCCACTGAGTCTTTAGAATGACATATCGGAATATAATATTCTGTACGATGTGCAAATCATTTCATATGATTGCTTTTTGTCAGTCGTGTTATTGAATTTGTAATGAAAAACGAAGAAGCGTGCATTCATATCTGAAGAATTATTTTTAGCATACAATATTATCTATGTGATATATCTGATATGAAATATTTACGAAGCAATTTTGAACTTTATTGCAAAACAGTGATAATAATTTAGGCAAAGAAGTAAAGAAGAAACAAATCAGTGAGGGGCAATGCTTCAATTATGTAGGACTAGATTTTACTCGTTGCGATGCTCGCATAAAATAGTTCTTCATATAATTGCGTATACGCAAAATATGTTCAAGATTAGCAGTTGATAATATAATGCAGAAAGAGGTAACAAAAATATAATGATATAATGAAATATACCTACGTTGAAATTCATAAAATGGAAGCTTACTGTTAATAATATTTAATCAAATAATAATAAAGCCCTTTATTCTGAATTATTTTTATATTAAGAGTTGTTATTCAAGTTACAGTACCTATATCTCTTAATTCAGTATGCCTTTTGGCCTCCCCTAGCAGTCTCCGTTGAATTCTTTCGCGGACCACTCTTCTCCAGTTGAGGCCTGCTGTTAGTCTTATCCTCTGCTGCGTTTACCATTCATTTAATCAAATAGTCAAATTCAGACATACGTAAAGTTGGTCCTTTGAGACCAATACTTACCTCACTGTAGGAAGATAAAGTAATATTAACCATTGTGTTTACATAAACTTGAAAGCTAGAACTACTGGGCGAACGAAGTACATTAAACAAACTTGCCTTTTGCACCGTCGTGTAAATGGAAATATTGTGCATTCAACTTTGTTCTCAAACAAATAGTGTGGGTTGGTCTTAAAACTGTCAAACACCAAGCGGTCACCGGTGACCGCAACCTATTGTTCTATAATTGTGTCTATAATGACGGTACTCGACGAGTTAATATAATATCCGTTGGTGTATTTATCGCGTGTTTTAATACGGTAAATAGAAAGGACCACATTTGAAAGAAATAGTTTTCCAAAAGGACCAACTTGGGAATTGTAGTCATTTATTATTGAAATTATTGATAAACAGTAAATTTAAACTCTTCAATGCTTTATACAGCACATAATTTAATGAGTAAAACATTAATTTAACATGCATAATAAAATTTATACCTATTAGGTAACATAAATCAAATGGGTGTCTTAGGCACATTAAATTTTTTGGTTTAAATTATATGTACAAATATAATTCAAACATAGATTTATCTATGTGCAAGAAAATATTACAATAATCTAGTCTTCAAAGAAAACTTTACCTTAAAAATGATAGCACATGAAAACCTGTGGTAGACGGCAATAAATCACTGTAAAATATTTTCGTTTCAGTAAAAACAGACTACAATTTAATACTTCTATTGGTATCAGTTATCGAAATTTCAATATTTTAAAGTACTACAGCAAGGTTCGATTTTATTTTAATTTGAACATTTGCAAACAAGTCAAAACTAACATTACTCATAGTAATTCAGATGAGTAATGAAGTTCAAGTTCTTAATTTTGTTGAATACAACATTCTGAATTATTAACAACATTTTAAATTCATATGCATCTCTTCAGAGATGCATATGAATTTGTATGAACAAACTCGTACTAAGGCGTACGAGTTTGTTTTATGCTCTGATTGGCCGGCTTCTTGTCGGCTTTGTGGTGATGTTATAATGATACAAGGGAAAATCTTAGGGTAAGTGCAAACTTTTTCTTAAGAAAATATCTCATAGACACACCGATTAGAAAAATAAAATACGAATACGTCCCGAATTACAATTATATTTCCTATATTTTTATAATAACTATCGTGAGATATACTAAATTAACTAAAGTTTATTAATTATAGCTAAAGTTTAGTATATTTCCTGTCTCAATTAGAATAAATAACGCCTATGTACTCGAATTTTACATACGTGTTGTCCTCTGTGCTGATTGTGAGTACATGAATTATTAAAGAATAGAAATAAATTAATAGACCATAGTCACATTACGTTCTATCGTTAAACATAGTCGTGAGACACATTAGACTACTAAAGAGTCATTGTCAAATGCAATGATGCATGTCCGTGCAATATTCCAGTTCCCAATTTAGGAGAGTAATCAGAGCGAAAGTTCGGAGGGACGTACGTTCGTGAGCCATGACGTATAACGTATATTGTCAGTGAGCACGCGATTTGAAAATCACTGCGCTAGGGTGCAACCGACGCGATGGAACATCAAACTGCAGGATGCGGTGATTTGACACGGGAATGAAACGATATACGTACGGTTCGGAATATTGGGTGGTTCTTTTATTAGAATATTGTCGATAGTATCGATGACTTTATTTTTTGCCATGAAACTTGAGTTTTATAAGTCAAATACATAGATAAATTGAACTTCAAAATAAGCCTGTGTGTTTTTTTATGAAATGCTAACTTCAACATTATTAAATACGAAAGTCTGTGTGTCTTTTTTCTAAGACACAATATTTTTTTAGTTTAGTTGTTGGAGAGGCTGAAGGCTTTTCTCTCAACACACTTGCTTAGACACTTCTCAACTAGATGAACCGCAAACAGAAAGAGTAGGTCTACTCAATACTCAGTAATAAAACAAATCTAGTAAGAGATACCGTATATCCCTTAATTATACGTCTATTTGTGATTTTTTTCCAATTTGCATTTTAAAACTAATTTTAAATTCAATATAGCTTGTGTCTAGCTTGATATCTGACTTCTAAATTGGCTATACAACAGTATTCCACATAACAAATTGAATCCCGGTCAACTGTCCGTCTATTTTATCAAATTAATTGTCCCTACGCAGCATGTAGAGCAAGTTTCAGGAGTTTCGACTGAAGTTACAAATTAAACAAAACTTCACACAAAATTAATCTTAACTTTGTTATGGAAACTATTAATAGGCTTCGATCAATTACACTGTTGTCACTGTTTCTGAAACTTTGTTCTCTAACTCAATTATAATTAAAAGGTATTATTTATTACACCTTTTATTATAACACCTTTCTAGCTTTTATAATTTTATCACACCCTTTTTCCCATAAAGGGTGGACCAAAGTGCACTATTAAGGAAATTTTACGCCTACACTCAAATGGTCCTATAATCCATGTAAACCTTTTGCATAAACAAAGCTCAATTTAAAACCGATAATTTGAGAATTTACTTATTTAATTATTATATTTAGTTGCATAAGTATTTAACCAATGAGGCTTCATCATCTATATTTATTTATTATACGAAATGTATGAAGCTCGAGAGAATCGTGGTTAAGACACAACCGCAAGTTCCAACCGCACATGACTAAGCTAGGTACGCTCCTTGTAGCTAATCTGTGGTTGTACCTCTTTGTCGACTAAACAGATACCCCATAATAATCGCTAAGAGTGTCATACGACTGTTATTTGTATATTATATTAATAGTTAATCATATATTAAATGTACGAACAGACAAACTCAATAAGTGAAAGGATATGCACATTCACGTTTACAGGTACCTTATTTATAGAAAGTTAACAGATACTTTTTACTGACTGACTCGTTGGCCGAGTGATCACAAGTGCGACTGCCGGGCATGGGGTCTCGGGTTCGATTCCAGAGTCGGGCAATGTATTACTGGATTTAAAAAAAAATCTCAGTAGTAGCACGATGTCTGGAATTGTGCCCGATATATGACAATAGGCTCACCCTCTATTACATGGGACTCACAACATAGATAGTGAAAAGTGCGTGTTACATTGTACAATGCCATTAAGTGCTGTAATGTGCACCTCTGCGTACCCCTTTGGGGGTAAGAGGCGTAATGTTATGTAATGCTATGTTATGTTGACTGACACTTTTTAATATTAAATAAAAAAGTGTCAAAGGTTGGAAATGCCGAAATGCCAAATAAATAGCTTTTCTGTTGAATTAAATCAATTATTCCTCAATTCAACATTACATTCAACTTTAAAAAAATGAAAAATGAATTTACAAAATAGCTACAAAAGTAATTAAAACAGCTGTCCCTTGCAGTATTCAAAACACGTTTTTCTCAAAAAGCTATTTTCATTGGAATTGCAAAATAATAAAAGGCTTTAATTACAATCCCGCGCTGTGAGTATCGAACAAAACCATCTTCGATGCAAACTCGAACAATGCCATTTGTTTTGTTTTGATTTTTGCTCCAAAAAGAAACCATTTGGATCAAATAGACTATAGCCAGCCACTTGTATTGAGATCAAAAAATCACAACTGCTTTTGGATAAATGAGAAATGGTTAAAAATGACAGCTTTTGCATTTCAATGAGTTATCAAGTTTCGATAGACTCCTGCTAAAATACGTTTAACTGAAAAACGTTAATATTACTCCCAGAAATAACTTAACCAGGATGTGAAAACATCAAAAGAACATAAAATAAAAAATCGAGCAAAAAACTAAAACAAACCGAACTAAAATTACACACATAAAATTGCACTAAACAGATTATCAAAACGCTATCATTAAATTTTTACCTATACCAAAAGGACCATCCCCACTGTTCAGGTACGTCCAAAAGGACCGAAAACCATCAACTACCAATAAAAGGCTCTTTATTACAATTTTCTCGCTGGCCGGATATCGAACACTGCATGACATACTGGCTGGTGTTTGTAAATCAAAACAGCGAGGGTGGGAGCGGGGCACGCCGGCACGGCTAGTCAGCCGACCGACTTCGGCCGACGCGCACGGCGCGACTCCGGCACGCGAACTGAACGGACGAAATGAAAGTGTAACGTGTTGTTTAGAACTCAGATTAAGATACAGTGATGAGTTTTACGTATATAGTTTTTTGGATGTAGGTTTTTCGGGTGAGAGGTAAAAGGATGTTTTATGTATTTTTGGAATAATTTGGTTTTTATATAAAATTAATTAATAATAAAAGAAAAGATTAAGACAGTATTTTCAATCCTTAATTTTATAAGTCATTTTTGTGTACTTTTATTAAAACTACAGTTTTGCACATTAATTAATATTAAACATCATAAATTATTGTATTTTAAGTACCTACATAATTCATGAACTCATTACTATCCAGGGTATCTATTTAAAAATTCACACGAAATGAAAATGTATGAATAATAAAAACAGAATGGGCTCAGAGACGAATACTAAAACGGCTTATTAATCCGAGTAATACGAAACAGGCAATATATTAATATAAATACCGAATGAATATTCATGGCACATAATTTCGCACCTCCAAAAATAGGCTCTATATTTGGAGACGTGATAATAATTCCACTCGGAGCGATAAATAGTTGCCTGCACTTAATATTCTGGGCTGACGGCAACTTACTAATTCCCAGCTTTATAGATATTATTGGATGGAATTCCAGCTTTTGTAATGTTGATTTTGTTAATTAATACATTTTAATTATAGAACAGAGATCGTTTCTGTTTTTTGGAAACCAGAGATGTAAATTTTCGTTCGTCTGGAGACATTATACGGTGATTAACAAAGAAGCTACTTTGTTGGCTTGATATGTAAAGAATGAATGCGATTTTAGATGTCATTTTTAAAAACTTATCAACACTTGCGACTGCGAATAAAAAGACCAGTTACTTAACTAATCTAACAAAATTTTGAAAGTAAATGGATTTAACCACTTAGCGCTCGTGCGTGGGTTGGAATGATAGTAATTTCCTTACACACCCTTCACAGGGATCGACATAAACCATCAATCATTCGACTGACGAAAATACAACATAAAACATACTCTATTCCATACTGACGAAAATACATTTCGACATGTCATTGGGCATTCGTATAGCGGAGAATTCAGATATTAATTGGCATTTAATCCGATATTATAATTACTACAGATGCGTGAACTGTGAAATGAATGTGTCCAATGAAAAATCATTCTTGCTCCTGTTTGAATAGGGTAATATTTTAATTGCACATGAATCTGTCGTTCGCATGTTGGTAGGGTTTCTAAACAACGTTGCTCGCAATCCCTCATGTCTGTGGAACTTGATGCCGGCTTTGCTAATGAAACAGTTTGTACGTGTCTTCGTACGTAGATAAGACTAGTCACAAATTATGAATCTTCCTTGTAATATGTTTTGTAGGTGGTTAAAATTCGATAAATAAATTGTTGTTTAGTAGTTGATAGTTGCTCCACGTACACGTTATAACTGAATCAAGGACATAACTCTAAGTGTATGGTACAGAGTAGATATTTATTTAAAAAGTAGACGATAATAGAAAATGCAGTCTTTCAGGTTAAATCACATCACATCAACAGCCTGTAAGTGGCCACTGCTGACCAAAGGCCGTTTCTCACACGGAGAAGCTTTGAGCATTAATCAGTTAAAATAGGAAATTAAAACAGGTACCCAAACCATGTTCAAATCTCGCATTTGCTTTCGTAATTCATGAAAGCAGTGAAAATTGCTCGAAAATTGTTGTGAAAGTGAAAATTGCTCATAATGCATAGTGTTCACAGATTTATAAACAATGGTCCCAAAACTCACGCTGACTAAAATAAGCAAATGCAGTTGTTTAATAATTTTGATACAGTCCGTCTAAAATAAAGTACGTGGTAAAAATAAAGGTACTTATTAATCTTTACTGTGTACATAACATACAAGGAATAATTTTATAGAAAAATACTGTAATACATAATATCTATAGTATTTTTATTCAAGTTTTGTCAGTAACGAGAACTAGTAGGTACATAGATTGCTAAAGCCGGACGTAATCTCAGTTTCCCTTTAAATTGGTTAATAATATTTTCCCTGACTCGGGGACACTTTTATTGAATTTCCTCAAGTCTGACAGACGCACCCATCTGACCAGTGGAGCAGTCAAAATAGACACACTATATACATGTTTACATACATAATATTGTTTTTTGTATTAAAGTGCCTCGAATTTCGGATTATGCAACGTATTCTTGGTTTCTTTCGTTTTTTTGTTAAATAATCATAGTAGCACAGGGTTTCGGAGACTTAATTGAGCCTAAATAATGTAAATGGTGGAAAGTGTTATTTCTGCATAACATAATCATCACGCTTTTTATCCCCGAAGGGGTAGGCAGAGGTGAACATTATGCCACTGTACAGTGTAACAACAACTTTTCACTATTTATGTTATGAGTCCCATGTAATAGGGGGTGAGCCTATTGCCATATACCGGGCACAATTCCAGACTCCGTGCTACTACTAAGATTTTTTGAAAAACCCAGTAATACTTTGGTCGACCCGAGAATCGAACCCGAGACCCTTTGCCCGGCAGTCGCACTTGCGACCAGTCGGCAAAACGAGGCAGTCACACAGTGGTATTCTGCCTTTGCAATAAAAGGATATATAACGAATAAAAGCCTAGAAAATTCTCAACTACATATGTATATTTTGCCTTCCACTAACCAGAAATTAAAATATCGCAGTCATCGAACTGAACACTGCTGCATATTCAAACACTGCTTATGCATTAAACCTTCAATCAGCCAAATTGAATATGAAATTTCCGATACTGAGAACTTTAATGCAAATTACGATATCGTTTTGACGGCATATGTTAATAAAGATAGAGGGACTACTTCGACCTTGTACAGGGATTAGGGAAGCTTAAAATATTTGCTAACTATACGTGAACAAAATATAAACGTTTATTTTGATATTCGTATGGTATATGTTACTCCACCCCGACTGCTGAGCAAGGCGATTATGGCAAAGTCTCTTAATGAAGTGGAAATCTATAAGCCAGCAGTGGACCTTTACCAACTGTTATTAATGATGATGATGAAGTCTTAAGTCAAAATCTCGTTATTTGTAATATGTGAGGCACGAGATTTGATGTTCGATTTTCGGTTCGTATTGAATTTTTCTTTATAGTAATTCGTTAAAAGCATAAATTTTTTAATATGAATAGTAACAATAACTGCAATAAGTATACTATCGCTGCCTACTAAAGATGCATACTAAAGAAATAAAAATCACAATAAGACTTTCGCATCATTACTCAGTCTTTGACCTTCTTCACAACGCGACATAAGGTAAGACTCGGTGAAAGAAGGTACGTTAGTATAGAGCGTTTCTACGACAGTGAATCTTACTGTCAATGTTGACTAGCTAATCTCTAAAGTACGGGATAAGCCGTTGCCATGTGAAACTGCAAAAAGGAATCACCAAGAAACAACGAAGATTATAACAAGAATACTTTTAGGGCTTCCATAATTTTTACTATGATAGTAGGTTAAGGTTGTAGTACCTAATATTGACACCATAATTTTGAGTGTGGGGGAGCCATGCTTCGGCATGAATGGGCCGGCTCGACCGGAGTGATACCACGCCCTCATAGAAAACCGACGTGAAGCAACGCTTGCGTTGTGTTTCGTCGTGTGAGTGAGGTTACCGAAGGCCCAATTACCCACCCCTTCTCCAATCTCCCCAATCTGTGAATCCCCAACGATCATCAAACTCCTAATCCCCAAAAGGCCGATACGGTACGCACTTGTAACGCCTCTGGTGTTCCAGGTGTCCATGGGCGACGCCGATTGTTTACCATCAGTTGATCCTGCTCGATTACCGGCTTATGCCATAGAAAGGTCTTTTAAAAAACCAATTCTCTATTTCAATATGGTGGGTCCCATAGCTTGGTTTAGTATATTGCATGCTGTAAAGCCACAAAGTCATAAAATGCAGGGGCCACGTGTAACAGTCAGATTAGGTTAATGACCCCACAATAATGTCACCATTACGCTAACCTGCAAGTTTACATTACTGACCCAAGGGATGTTTTGATGGAAGAGGCGGAGTTTTTAAGAAAATTATGTCTATTTTTCTCTTGCCTTTATTTTGGCACTTACTTGGTATTTCGGCTCTTCTGCCATATACCTACGTAGGTATAAACAAACAAACATACGTTTGTTTGTTTGTTTTATATATCTTAAAAGTGTTTCAAGAAAATATTATAATAAAACTTTCGTGAAGCATAAGTACTAAATTAATTATTATTTTTCGGCTTACTCACGTAATTATTCGACGAGGAACTCGACTACTTTCGGGCCATGCTAGAGGCTTATATTCATGAGCAGCATTACGCTACCCGCGACGCGGCGACTGTCGCGCTGCTATTACAACTAGTCGAGTTCGTCGTCGAATAATTACGTGATTAAGTTGAAAAATATTATAATAAAGAAATATGTGTTTTAAAAATAAAATGACTCACTAAAATATAAGGTACAAAATATAAATCCGTGTTTTGTACAATTTTAATTAGATACTTTGTCTTTTTCTTTAGGTTTTTAGCACTATAACAATAATGTTAGTAACTTTTAAGTAAGTTTCAGTGCTAAATAAATCTGTTACTATGAGAGTAACTCGTTAATGTGAGTATTAGTAACTTTGCACTTAGGTTGTGTACTAGTATGTAATACCTGTTGTGTTTAGTTGTACTACTCGAGTTTGGTCCATTATTAATGATTCATGATCATGTATATAACGTTCGTTTTCCCTCAAGATTAGTAATAGCATTTAAGTTATTGAATCAGAACTAAGTATATTAAGTCCAACCCTATTCAAAAGAATTTAGATCTATTTTTGAGAAATATTTTTACCACATTATATTATGTCAGCAGCAGCGAGCCATTCACCAGTCAGTTCACTATAGAGAAGTTAATAATCAATACAATAAGTTTTAGACATTCATCTTTTTGAAACTCCAACCAACCATCCGTCTTTGTAATATTTATGAAGAAATTAAACTAGCAATGTGATCTTGCACGCGGAGAACCTAATGGTTTACCGGGGCTCCGGCTCGAAGTGCAGGAGAAGAAACGGGATAGTTTTTAGTCAGTAAGAGTCTGATA